AGTTCCTCTCTGCCTGCCTGTTGCCCGCCTGCCCCAATGCCAGCAGCTGTCCAATAACTTTTTGTCCACACATCTCAGTCTCCTCTGACCACTTGGAGTATGTAACTTGGTCTCTTTGACTGCTGGAATTTATGCGACATTGCAGTCAGCGGCAGACAGACTCTATATAAAGTGAGTGCTTCTCATAGCCTGAGGTATACGCAGAAGGGCAGTGTCGGTTGGAATGTGGATCGGAGAGGCGAGCTTCCTTTTGCCTGCAGTAGTTCTAGAGATCGCATCTTGGGGAGTATAATTACAGAAGACCCTGGTGTTTTATATTTTCCAAAAAAAACTATAGAAGATGTTTGTATTTGCAGAACAAATATCATGTAAGCATCCACCATATATCAGGAGTAGCTATGGAGTCCAGTTATTAAATATTGGTATGGAGTAGTAAAATTGAAGTCCAATTAAGCAAAGTAGTTAGATCCACAAAGAGCGTAGAATGTTTATCAGTTATCGATTAAATATTATTTGTATGTAGTGGCTATTCAGAAATAAATTTTTACAATAGTCATTGCTGATATATTTTGCCACCATATTTAAGTATTTACAAGTTACAAGTTAAAGTATGTAGCATTGAATAGCAATGCATTAAGCTTTGAATTAATTCCCATTCTGCCGAAATTCTTAATTTCCCATTCCCACAACCCCAAAGCTGCCATTCTCCGACTTATGTGTTCTCTTTTTTGAAACTCTGCCTCAGAATAAAATGTCAAATTATTTGCATTATTGCATTCGCGGCATTCAATTTAATATCTAGTTGATCTGAAAGCCCATACTCGTAGCTTTGATGCTTTTATGTTGCCTTTAGCTTTATTTTACATTTGACACGATTTTTGTTTTTCCTTTTTCTTCTCATCTAATTCAATTTTATTCTTAACGATATTTTCTTGATTTTCTTGTCCCCGCTGCCTTGTGTTTTGTTGTTCCTTTGCACTTTTTGGTTGGCTTGTCGTGTGAAAAATTAATTTATTTGATTTGCATTTCAATTTGCTGTACGTAGCCGCAGTTTGGCTCGTCGGCGGAGCTTGCCACTCTTCTCTCCTTTTCTTCTTTTTTTTTTTGTTAAATTCAATTAAATACAAGTGCCAGTAGGGGGAGGCAGGCCAAGTCATGCACGTGTCCTTAACGCCTGTCAGGATGTGGAGAAATTTCAACATTACACTGACAATAGTGTTTGTGTAATGAATAAAATGATTTTTTTCCTGCAATTGGTCCAGAGTACAAAAAATTTAATAATTCTTAGCAATCTAATAAAAGAAAACAATACATTATAAATTAAATATTATTATAGTATACTCAAATGGGACCACTAATTGTGCTTCTGGTTTTATTTTCCATGCTTAAATAATATAAAATGAAAATCAGACTAAACTCCTAGTTGTAATTAATTTTTTTTCATAAGTTTAATTTAAGTTATTGAAATATTAACAGTAATAATTAATAATATCAGGAAAAGAGCTTTAATATGAAGTGTTCTTTTTTATTGTTTTTTCTTTATTAATCGATTAAATAAATCATTAGACTTTAGTTGCATTGTTTTTTTAAATATGTATTATTTTTATTTTTTTATTTTTAAATTTATAACAGCTTTTTATTTATAATTTGCCAAATGTGCATATTAGAAAACAAATTATATATTTTTCTATGTGTTTGTTAATCTATTGAAAAGTTAGTTTTATTTAAAATGTACTTTTTTATTGAATCTTGCCATGCCTACATTTTCAACAAAGAGTTGGAGCTTTGACAGATGACTTAATAAATAGTAAATAATAATATTTATTTAATAATATTGATAATAATCATATACAAGTTTACATTGTCTGCAATACCTTTTTTGGTTGCCATTTGTGTGCGTGAATGCTGTGGATTTTTGAGAGGCCTTAAGTGCCCTTAAGCCTCTTCGGGTGCTCTGCGTTTTAGCTGTCCCGCTGCAAGATAAGCGGCGTTAATTGCGAATTCCAATAACCAGCAACTACTAAGCAGAGACTGGCAGCTACGGCAGCCCGGCTCTCTGCTCGGCTATCCGTGCCAGTCGCTGTCTCAGCTGCTCGTCAAATTTATGCTGGTCCGTCATGGCTCACTTGCCACTTGTAGTGGCAGTGGCTGGGGCATCAATCGATGTTGCATCGTCTGTTCTTCAATGCGACGCTGGCTCAGTCGCCTGCGATAATTTTTGCAATTTTGTGCTGCATTTTTTTCCTCTTTTTTCTCTCTCTCTCTCTCTGCTTTATTGCCCCCCTTGGTGGCATCTCTCTAATTAATCGTGTGAAAGTCGTGCAATCATTTTTACAGCTGTTGCTGATGCCCCACTGAGATTGCCGCTCCCTCGTCGTCTTTCTTCTCGTTTCTCCAAAGGGTTTTTTCTTTTTTTTTTTTGTTACCGGAATTGAACATTTTAATTAATGTTGCTGGGGACGCCCTTATTAATGCAAATAATTTGCGCGAAGAATAATATTTGCCATATGCTCGACAGGCGGCAGCAGCAGCAGCAGCAACCACAGTAGCAATTAGCAGTTGCTGCTGCTTTCACTGCCACCCACATAAACAAACACACACACACACACGCACACACACACTTGCTTGCAACCTACGCACATGCATATGCAAGTACAGTAGAAAATTTAGAGAAAAATAAACCGCTCTCTCAAACGCCATTTCACAAAAATAAATAATTTGAAAACAAACAATGAATGCATTGAACTGAATAATTATGAGAAAATTTAAATAATCCCTTTATACTTATTTCAATTGGGAAACCCATTAATGTTTAAATTACAATCTTAATACTCTTAGAAGCCAGAAAAGCAAATACTTTCTTCTTACTTCAGAGCATAGAATATTTCAAGCTAATCAAAACACAGGAGCTAATCAGCCGTAAAGAATCGAAATAATACTTATGCTATTAAAATAGAAATAGATTTTGTATATGCACTATAGGTTTTAAATATTCAAACAGAAATAGTTGTATATTTCTTTTAAATACATTTCTATTTGAGGAGCTTAAACGAAACTACATGAATTTCAATTATAGTAAAAAATTGTAGTAACAAACAATGGATGATATAGCTGTATTATACATAGACTTCAAATACATTTCTATTTGCACTTACAACGAAAATACTTGCATTTAATTTATAGTAAAAATTAGTAGTAACAAACAATGGATGATATAGCTGTATTATACATAGACTTCAAATACATTTCTATTTGAAGAGCTTAAACGAAAATACTTGCATTTAATTAATAGTAAAAATTCTTAGCAATAAACAGTGAATGAGCCCAGCCTAAAAAGTCTATGATGCGGCTTACTTATTATACGTGACATATGTTTTCCTTAAGCGATTAATACTGTATGAGTATAACGGCACCGGATGTGCAACAACTTCCGCTTACAACCATGCTGTACAACACGGCACGCCTCAATGCCCGCCTCTGCCGCAACGTGAATGTAAATGTGGCGGGGTCCCATCAAAAATTGCGGCATTCAATCAGCGTGCCACACAAGCATCAGCAGATTTTTCCCTTCGCTGGCACACACATCTCGTTCCACTCGTACTACTACATGGGCTACATAGGTGTGCTATATGCTGTCTAGGCAGGAACAAAAAGCTGGGCCCAGAAACCGGGACAGAGGCTGCAGCTGAATGGGAAGCGGAGCGAGCGCTGCTCTGCTCTGCCTCATTTCGCTTTCATGGCTCATTGTCAACGCGAATGCGTGCGTTCTGCCTTTATTAATTTCAATACATCAACGCACATGCACACCCACACACACACACACACACACACACACACACACACACACACACACACACACACACACACACACACACACACACACACACACACACACACACACTAAAGTGCAGCCCTGGAGTGCCGCTTCGCCTGAGGGCTCTTCAGTGGAGCGAGTGAGCGAGAGAGAGAGCAGCTCCCCCCATGCCTATACTGCCGGAAAGTGGCAGAACTTGTCCAGAATCGTGCCCCTACTCCCCTACTATTGGGTCGCGCCTATTGTTCAAGCGCCCTGCCTTTCACAATGGCATCGCCCCTTTGCATTTTCAGTAAAGTTCAGGGGGTTATCGGTTGTCTTTTTAAACATTTTTTTTATTTTTCGTACCCATACCCTACCCCAGACTACCCACATCGCCGCTTAATGGGTATGTTGCGCTTCAATGAAGCGGATGTATCAACTCCATTTGGAAAGCCACTTTCAGAAAACGCTGACAAGTTTTGGTTTGGAACGTGCTCCGACATTTGGGAAAGTCTTACTTTCCTCTTCTTCCAAAACTGTGCGTACTTTGAGAAACATATTAATCATCTTTTGAGTAACTAGATTCCTTTGTAATGTTTAATTCCCTGGAATGTTTTATATGTAAGCGCTTATTATTTCAACATCCCACCTGTTTTGATCAAACTCAATTTTTGTTTATTAACAATTCGCGAAACTATTTACAAGTAGCTCTTTTAAAAACTTAATAATCATCTTTTGAGTAACTAAATATGATTCCTTTGCAATTTTTTTAGAATTCGAATTATTAGAATTACATTTTTAAATTCTGGAATGTTTTATATGAGGTTCTTGAAACACGGGTGGCCTTTTGATTTCAATTTCCAGCTGTTTTGATCAAACTTTATTGTTTTCATTAACAATTAAATATATTAATCATCTTTTGAGTAACCAGATTTGATTCCTTTTCAATTTATGTCCATAGCTCTTATTAGGATTACATTTTAAACCCCTGGAATGTCTTATATGCAAGGCTTGATTCAGTCCGACACTCACAGAAGGGCTGATCATTTCAACTCCCATCTTTTTTAATTAAGCTTTATTTTTGATAACACTTAAAGAGACTATTTAGCTCTAATTTAGAGCGCACACTTATCTTTTTTAATAGATGTACCTATCCAAAAACTGTTTCATTTATTGATTAACCTCTCTTCTCTGATCCTTGCAGATGCTGAAACACGTGCAAATTTCGCCGCTGCGCAATCGCGCCGATTCGCTCTCCTTGAGATCCAGCAATGTGTCCTCCTGTGCCTCATCGATGTGCGGCAGTCCGGAGCCACCGAATGACTTGCAACGCACTCCTTCACGAGCCTCCAGCTACTCAAGTCTTAACGAACAGCTGCCACAGGTAAGTGCCACTCACGAATGCAATGCTAAGAAATACATTTTACTAATTCGATTAATTCCTAATTCCCACAGACCACCATCAAGGTCTATACGAATTGTCTGAAAATTGACATCGAATACAAAACACTGGGCATACAATGGGATACCACCAGCAAGGAGGTGATTGCGCAGCTACTCAGACGGTACGTTACAATTATTGTTGATATTCCTTTAATTGACAAAAAAAAAAAAACTCCGAAAAAGTGACAAAAGCCAGCTAAATGTAAACAAGGCAGAGCTTAGAACAATATCTTTTCATCTGAGATATGAATATGTACATATATTACAAGTGTAGCTTAAATCTATTATTAAATATTAAAAGAATATAACTATAAGAAAAATCTCATTTTAAAAGGAAATAAAACTATATAGTATACAGAAAAACATTATAATTCCTCATAGCTAGAATAAACTCATTCCATCAGCTTCAGCCTCTTTTAAATCTTTATTTACGATATCTAAGCAATTTATATCTTAAACATATATATAATTTTTAATTAAATTAATGTTTAATTAATTAATGAGCAGATAAAATACTGAAATATTTTTAAAAAATCTTTCTAATTGAAAACAAATTATTTTAACAAGAGAGATTTTTTCTTTAATTGAAAACAAATTATTATAAGAAGTAAAATATTTCCCCATAGCTATTAAGGAGATTTTTTCTTTAATTGAAAACAAATTATTATAAGAAGTAAAATATATTTTCTTTAATTGAAAACAAATTATTATTAGGACTAAAATATTTCGCCATAGATATTAAAGAGATCTTTTCTTTAATTGAAAACAAATTACAAGTATTATAAGAAGAAAAATATCTTTTCTTTAATTGAAAACAAAAGATTATAATAAGTAAAATTTAGATATTGAAAAGCACAAAAATTAGAGTAGGAATAAAAAAATGATTCCCATTATATGTTTAATTAACTATTCAATTGTTGAAGCTAAGTCACATTGATTTGTCTATTTAATTACCGTTAATAAGTTGTTTTAATTTCGATGCTTTACTAAATTGTCTCGTTTGTTTTCTCTTTTTCTCTACAGTCTCAAAATGCGTCATCGCGATCCACGTCTGTTTTATCTGTCCATGGAGGTGGCCGTGCGTCGCGCCGGAGTCAAAACCATTCTGGTGCTGGACGACGACACCCGTCCGGCCATATTGCAGGCCTGTCATCCCAAGGGGGAGTCTCGCTTTTGTCTGCAGCTGAAGCCTGGCGGACTCATACGCGTCCACACATCGGCCTTGCAGCCGACCTCGCAGTACAAATCGCTGGTCATCAGCGAGGAGACCACTTCGGATGAGTTGCTGCAGCTGTTGCTGGGCTGCTATAGTTCGCTGGAGCCCGTGGAGCAGTTCTCCATCTATGAGGTGTGCCCGGGGCAGGAGTATCAGCGGAAGCTGCATCCCGACGACCTGCCACTGCGCGCCCAAATCGAACGCATGAAGCGCGGCGAGTCCTGCCACTTTCTGGTGCGTCGCAATCCGAATTATGCGCGTCGTCGCCAACTGCTGGCCAACCTGAATGAGGCAATCAACAAGTCCTTTGAGAGCGAAGGTAATGCGCCGGCCGTCAATGCGGCTGAGGACACCAACAGCTTATTGGATCTGTCCATTGAATCGCTCTCCGATGATTTGCACAGTTTGCTGACCACAAGCAGCAGCAGCAGCGGCAGCAGTAGTGGCAGCAGCCTGGATGACGATGCCGAGGAGGATGAGTGCGCCAGTTCATCCGGATCCTCGGACAATTCGACCGAGTGTGCGACAAGCGGCTTGCGGCGTGCCGTCGTCGTCTGTCCCAAGTGCCGGAACACGTTCAAATCCTGCGAATTTTGCAAACAAAATTCCAGCGCATTGATTGGCACCCAAGCCCCAGCGACAACCACAGGCTCGTCGGTGTCTCCTCTGGCCAACTCGCCTCCCGCGCGCGCCTACAGTCCGGTCTACAATATACGTGAGATACGCACAGCCTCGCACTCGTTCTCCTCGCTGGGCAAGGACAAAAAGCTGCTGGACATCCACATAAATGCCCGCTATGCGCCCTCGGCAGCCGTCTACAGTCGCCTGCTGCCCGTCGCCGAAGTGGAGGCGCCTCCCCTGGACATCAATGGCAATGCGGCCACCAGCCAGACAACGACTCCCCTCAGTGCCGAGGCCGTCAATAATAATCCGGCCAAGGGCTTGGGCCATTTCGTCTATCTGTAAGCCCAGGATAGCTGTTAGAGTTGTTGTTGCCGTGCCGGGAGCCACGAGTCATAGCTTCCCATTTTGTTTTCTTTTTTGTTGTTGTACATACACTTAGAGTTCTTAGGCTAACACTCCCCCCAAAAACACGAGTACCGTATGGACCAAAGATGCATTTGTAGGCTTAACTTAGCTCTTAGTGGCTTCACCTTTCTACATAGTATTAGTCTATAAAGTGCACAGCCTGTAAATAATTTATCTAATCCGAGCAAAACTGGGCATTGCCTTAACAGTAGCTATAAAAAGTGAACAAAAAGTACATCCTCGTATGTACAATTAAACGCACACTTGATCCTTTGAAGCTTTCATCACGCAAATCAAATTACAAGCAACAATTTCGCGTGCGACTAAGTAAGGTTGAAAGCGATCGGCAAGTGTCTCAATATATGGAGTCTATAGCTTAGAGCTTTAGTCCAGTTACTAAAGCTAACTTAAGTTTATTTCTATAATGCTTCTTGTATAAACTAATCGATACACATTAATAAAATAAATACCAAAAAATTAACTAAATAATGTGAATTATTTTTGTATACCCTGTACCCCACAAAATGTATATTTTTTTGATCAGGATAACAGCCTGTCGTGCAAGCCATGTCCCGATTCACAACCGTGTGTGGTCAGAGGTTCCGAAGAGAGTATGCAATGGGGCTGACGAAATTCCGTCCCCCACAATCATTTTTCTTGGAAAAACACAACACCAAGGACGATCCTGCGATTAGCCAGCGGCAGAAGCAATCGAAGATCAGAAGTCGGCTTGATTAGAATGGCAACCGAAAGTTCAAGCCACGAGAAGCATAACGAAGGAATTGCTTATATTATAATAACAGAAAAATTAATTATAATAATAATAATAATAAAATTTATACGTATTTATTTATATGTATTCATGATATTGGATGTCCTTTTCGAACTTCCCACAGCTCGCCAAATGACCAAGTGAGAATGGCAAACGAATGTTAAGCCCCGAGGATCAAAACGAAGAAATTGATTATAATATTATAATAATAATACAATTTATATTAATAATACTGATGGATGTCCTTTTTGTGTCCTTTTTTGTGCATATTTTATTTCCTATATTTAATTTGTTATATCTAATTTACATTAATAAGAACAATAATTATTAATTCATTAAATTTGTAAATAAAAGAAAATAAAAATGGCTTCAAATAAATTTTAAATGGATTTATTAGTATGGTAGGTGAGAGGGGTGAAGAGGGTGGTTATATGACGTACTCATATAGCGGACTCATAGATAAACAAAAACCAGTTTGACCGATGGCCAAATTGGCCTGCGTTTGCTAAAAGCCAAAATCTGAAGTACCAGGCGAACAGAAGGCAGCAGCAAGATGAATCTTTTTTAAAAATTGCAACACTTTTCATAGTGTTAGCCGATCTTCATACCTTTTAGTAGCTGGGGCTCAAACCAGTTACCAAATTGGTTTGAAGCCTGGCTGGCAAATTGGTTTGAAACCTAGCTTACATTTATTTTTAATTTTTTACAAATCATCTTGCTACTGCATTATGTTCGCCTAGTACGTAGCAAAGATGCCAATTTGCAATCTAAGCACAGGGCAATTGCGGCTTTCTTACAAATGTAAGCCAGGCTTTAAACCAATTTGGTAGTCAAGTTTCAAACCCAGTTGCCGAATTGGTTTGAGCCCCAGCTGCTAAATGGTTTGAAACCTGGTTTACATTTGTTTTTAATTTTTTACAAATCATCTTGCTGCTGCATTATGTTCGCCTAGTACGTAGCAAAGATGCCAGTTTGCAAACTAAGTTCTGAGCGGCTGCGGCTTTCGTAAAATTTGTAAATCGCCTGCAAATGCTTAAATCCAAAATCTGAAGTACTAGGCGAACATAAATCAGCAGCAAGATGATTTGTGATAAATTAAAAATAAATGTAAGCCAGGTTTCAAACCAATTTGGCAGCCAGGCTTTGAACCAACTCGGCAAATTGAGCTTAAAAGTCAGGTTTCAAACCATTTGCAGCCGATCTTCAAACCAATTATTAAATTTTAAATTTAATTCTGCCCCTGTATGATATGCTACACTATTTTTTAGGGCAAACCAATTAATTATTAAATAAATAAATGGAAAAATAAGTTGCTGCGGCACAACTACTTAGATACAAATGCAAATAATAAAGGACACTTTTTAGGACTTGCTGCGGACTTATGTTTGCCTGAAGTTGAAGGATTAGGATTAGATGCTGCTACCTGCAGCAAATCATTAAAGGAAAGAAAGAATGTTATATTTTAAAATTTGTTTTATTTGTAATTGAAAAGCTGTATAAAATATTTTCCTTATGGTAAGAGACAGTTTTAAGGATAAAGGATAAACACAACTCCTTTTACAAGAAGAAGAACAGGAACATAAGCCAGCAATTTTTGTTGTTATTATAATAATATCAATAAATTTCTTATTTGTTTGCAAATTAAAATAACAATTAATTTTGTAATTACATATTTTATAACAAAAGTAATAATTAATTTCGTATTACTTTAAACTTATTTAATTATATAATTAATTAATTATATATTTAAATCAATAAACTTCTCATTTGTATACAAATTAAAATAACAATTAATTTGGTATTTACATATAAATTAAAACATATTAAATTATTAATCAGTATTATCGCTTTGTTCTGCACACGAAGAAATTTATTTTGAAATATCATTGTGGCTGATAAACAAGGATAAGAACAGCATATCTTTGCAGTGCGTGCAGCTAGGACATTGGCATTAACCCAAGAAATGCGCCAACGTGACGCATTGTGCATGAAACTATACCCTGGCGTCTGCTTGCAGGGCCATCTGTTGGAGCAACTCAACAGCTACAAGCACTTGGGCGAACAATTGGACAGGCGCCACCATCGCCACAGGGACTATTACAGAATCAACGAAATTCGTTACTTTTGGACCAGAAAAAAGATGTCACTCAATCCATCCCGTATTGCTCCTGCCTGGCAGATTTGCAGATTTGCAGATTTACGGAATCGTTACAAAATCCCAACTAGAAAATTCGAATGCTGCTAGCTAAAGCATTAAGCTTGTTAAGTGGTACATGAAAACCGTTGATACCGAAAAGGATCAAAGTTGGTGACTTCCTTAACGAACTAACTTCGCAGTACAAATTAATTAGGTAATTCCATAAGCCTATTTTTAAATAAAAACAGTACATTTAATTAATAATAAAAGTTTTAAAAAAATCCCACTATTGCTTTTGATTTTTAATAGCTCTAGTTTTTTATTCCATTTCCTTTCACTCAATTTGTAATAAAAAATAATTCAATCTGCGATAGTTGGATTTTTTAAGCTTTGAAGAAATATAGAAAATTGGCAACGTTTGCTTACAGATTTATATTGTTCGAGATTCTACAGCTATATCTCACAGTTAATTAAGCGTTCATAAAGAAGAAGAAAGGACCCTGCAAGTAACAGCTCGAGTTCCTTTGAAGTAAAAATAACAATAGTAATAATAACCAATAAGTTAAAATTTATTAACAATAAATTTAATTCCATTGTCAGACCAGAGCTTCCATATTATTGCTGATTTTATCAGGACACACAATAATATATAAAACCGTGGCAGGACAGGCTCCACACGTAAAAATGCTTCGTAAGCTTCTCTGTAAAGTTCGAGCCAATGTATAAATTTTAGTTGTTGAATATATACTATATGTATATATTTTAATATCGCAATACTTCGCTGACATCCAACTTATGTAATTTTCCACGCACACCCCACAAACTTGGCATTAATTAAGTGCTATAGACCATGAACAAAAGTATAATAACAAGATGAGGAACTATAATGGGCATTGCAAACGGCCACAGACGAAAAACAGATTTTACGCGATTTTTGTGCCTTTATGAAGACATTAAAAGGGATTAAGCCGGCAAGCGACCAACACACAGCAGACGGTCCATGCATTTTTAATTGCAATAAAAATAAGCTAACAATGGCCGAGTGCGCGAAAGAAGCGCGAACAGCATGAATGGAAGCAAGCCATGTGGATTCTGCATATGCCCATATAAATAGGCTACAATTAATGCGGCCAACCACGCAATTTGTATTTAAAACCTCAGGCAGCAACGGTCGCATGCATCGACACCCCAACACCACCCGCCCCGACAGCTTTTGCACGCAGCTTAAGTTGAATGATTTACGGTGCGTATGCGTAATTTGCATAACCACTGAGGCTGACGCTTTGTTGCTTTAAATGAGCTTCATATGAATGGCTTTTCATTACCCGTGTTCCTTCAGTTATATAAACGCTGTTTCAATTTAAATTGTCATTATCATACAATGTAAATGAAGATATTTGGAGGTATACTAAGGCACTGGGAATGTATGTCAAACCTAGAAGTAGTTGCGAATGTGCGGTTAAAAAAACTATTGATGAACGCATGGGCAATGAAGCAATTTCTCTGGACAAAATTATTATTTAACATATCTAAAGCAAACTACTCTCTGATGTATATAATGAAATAGATCAACAAATTGGGGGCACATTCCAATACAAAAACATGTTTCCCAAACTCAAGTTGTATTTTTAAAGGAAATTTAGTTTTTTCTCTGACCACACATCTAAGATTTTGTAATAAGATTTTACAAATGTTGATGTGAAAGGAATTCATACGATTATTGTTTATTATTTTCGATGCAGTGTTATAAAATGAAAAAAAAAAAATTATAATGTAGGCATACTAGATTGCTTGTGTTTTTAATTAAAAAAAGCCTTTGCTTGATTTTGAAAATATAAACAGCAGTCTGATGGCTTCCTTTTTACAATTGTTAAGTGTGGCATAAAAAATATAGGATGATATATATTATACAATACATAATACATTATAGTATAAGTGCAGTAGAAAGCGAAATAGAAAAGGTCTATCATGTACATCCTAATTTTATGTAAATTAGTCTCTGTTTACTTTTGTCAGAAAAGCTGCAGGCTATAGGTTCATGTTTAGAGGTTTCCAGTGAAATGTTTAAAATATTCATATTAAAATTGTGAGCATTAAATGTTGTTGTTTTTCAAACAGTTGTAATCTTAAAATATTGCTGAGAACAGAAATGTTTTTTCTTTCATTGAGTGCAGTGCATTTAATAGTCGCTCAAATTTTTATTATTACCAAGAAAGTGAAATTCTCTATTTCTTTCCAGCTACAAAATAAAGTTCTGCACACAGAACACAATGTAAATTTCTTCTACAACTTTTCACTCTTATCGTAATTACCAATTCCAAGTAATGCTGACGCAAATTTTGGGCATAAAATTGATATTCAATGCCACTACGAGGTTTTGTGTAAGCCTTTTTTTTAGCTAACACTTGGGGTAATTTATTAAGAAAGGTCGTTTGCTTGCTTGCCCCTCATTTGTAAATGTTCTGCTTGACTTTGCTTTTACTTGGGCTGCTCCGAAAAATTAAAAATAAACAATTTGCCAATGAAATCTAAT